GGGCGACGACGTCCTGACGCTGCACAGCGACGAGAGCTCGCACGCGGCCAACGACAGCGACGACGTCCTCGAGGTGGTCGACGACGACAACGTGGGGGTCGGCGGAGGTCACGTACACGCTGCGCTTTGATGGTGGGTGCCGCCAGAACGGCTCATCTGCCTCCGCTGGTGGTGGTGCCGGCGCTGTCATCTTTGGCCCGGATGGGCGAATCCGGTGGTCTTGCTATGAGTGGCTACCGCAGCCGACTGCGGGCTCTGGTGCGCCTGCTGTGACCAACAACACGGCGGAGCTGCGCTCGGTCTACTTGGGGCTTTGCGGTCTCCTCCACCTCAAGCCCCACCGTGCGCTCATCCAAGGCGACAGCGCGCTGGTCCTCAAGTGGCTTGATGGCAGTACGCGGTGCGCGAAACCCCTTCGTGCCGCCCGCAATGCTGCCCTCGCGGTCCTCACACGCCTGCGCAACTACAACGTCCAGACAACGCTGTCCCATATTGGTCGCGGACACAATGCGGTGGCCGACCATCTTGCCAACCGTGCGATGGGCATCCCGTCGATGGGGCTGCAGCCTGGCAACGGGTTGTTCTGCTCGTGCCCGTCACCGTCTCGCAGCTGTTGCCCCGACGGCATGTCGCTGCTGGTGGGCCACGATCCCCGCCATGACGCTGGCGAGCCGCTGGTTGGGCCGTCTGGTGTCGCGCTTGGCCACTTTAGCTCCGCCACGCCAGCCCGTGCTCGGGGCTCTGCAGCGCCGCGGCCGCCAGCCTCTGCTGCCATGCCGCCAGTGCCGACGAGCTCCGTGGACGACGTGGACGACGAACCTGAGGCGTGCCTTAATGGCGGTGATGGCGGCACGACGACTTCGTATGCGACGCTCCGGGCCTCATATTTACGGGCGTCGGTGGCCGCTGCGGTGGCCACCTTGCCTGCGCCGCGCGTGTACCGCTGCATGCTGCGCCTCCCCGTGCGGTCTTCTGGATTGAACTCCGGGCCACTGAACGTGGTTGCGGAAGTCGTGCCTCAAGCTGATGATGATGACGACGCGTCTGCTATCTGGCTTTCGCATCGACACTGCCCTGCGTACGCAGACGTTGGCCGCGTGGTCTGCCGCATTTACCTTGACGTTCTGCATGCCTCGCTGCATTGGCCTCGGGCTGCGTCAGGCTCTGTGCTCCGGTTTCTTGTGCCACACGACTGGCTGGCTCTGTTCCGTGGCCTCACCTCGACAACGGCTCCTCAGACTCCTGCCCATACCCAGTTCCAGCTTGTGGCCCCATTGCTGCAGCAACCGGTTGTACTTGTCGGGGTCGACCACGCTGTGACGTCGAGTCTTGAGCAGATCGCCCGCCAGCAGCTCCCCCTGCAACGCTTAGCGCGCGACATCTGCTACTGCGCTTCGAGACGCGGTGGCTGCCCCTTCCGGCCTCACTACGGCATCCATCCGCGGTTTCTGTCTGCTCTCCTGTCCTCGTCTGCTCCGCCGTCGTCGTCGGCAGCGCCGTCACCGTCTGCTACGCTGCCCTCGCCTGCAGCGCCGACTAGCCCAGTGGAACCTTCGGGCTCTGCTACCGATGGCGCCACGGTGCCTTTGCGCCGCGCTGTGACTGGTGGCATGCAGCCGCGCCGTGGCTTTGGGACGCGGACACGCCTCGCGCGCGCTGGTGCTGCGGCCTCCTCGTCCCGCATTGATGGAACGCCGTCGCCTACCCCGGAGTTGACGACCAACGCCACCTCGGTGTCGACACTCCCTCCCGACGGGCCTGCTCTACCGCTTGGTGGTCCCCCTTTACCGCCAGATGATGACTTGTGGCTTGACGTGGCGGCTGCACACGGCTCGTCTGATACGGACGTCAACGCACCTGTGTTTCCCGATGCACGACTCTCCCCGTTCACTGCGGCTTACGACCCCGCCGACTTTGCCAGCGACGATGAGGCGGCTTCAGCGACTGGGCCTACCGCTTCCGACGAGGCTGTTGTCGCTGCCTCTGTGCCGTGTGTCGCTGCGCCGGTGGAAGATGACCGTGCGGATGTTGCCAACGCTGCGGGTGCTGGTTCCGTCGACGACGGGGCTGCGGATACAGCTTCGGACGACGATGCGGCCGGTGTGGAGGTCGATGACGGCGCCGCGGGTACTGCTGCGGTCGCCACTGACGGCCCAGCCACGCCTCCTCCGCCGCCCTCCGCGCCCCTTGACCCGTTTGCGCGCCAGCCTCGGCTCCGTATCCCGGGACCCCTCCCAGACGCACTCGCCCACGTGATTGAGGACGAGATCGCTGCGCTCTGCCGTCGCTTGGAAGTGGCCATTGAAGATGCTGCTGACTGGGACGCTGTTGAAGGTGCGGTTGCGTCCTTGCCGAGCGCCCTTGCAGCCACTCTCGGCCGCCATGCCAGCGCAATTGCTGCGGCGTCAGTCCGGCCGCCGACGCCACCGCCGCTCCGCGACGAGATCCTCGACCGGTGTGCGGCCCTGCGCGTGACCCAGCATCTCGAACCCAAGAACCGGCGCCTTGTCCAGCGTGCGCGTCGTCGTGTCGCGCGCACACGGGATGCCCGACGTCGTCTTGTCTTACGTGCGCGCTTTCCACACCACGAGCAGGAGGTGGTCCAGGGCATCTTCAACGCTGGCACTGCGGATCCGGCGCCGGCCACCACGTGCGCGATCCCTGTTGACGTGGTGCATGCTCACTTTGCCGGCCTTGGCGCGACGACCGAGCAGGCAGCTGACGAGGAGCTCCCTCCGGGTGTGTTTTGGGAGGCCCTCCGCCTCTTGCCGCTCGCGCGCGCTGGCTCTGACGAGGCGCTCTTGGCCCCAATCACGCTCGATGAGGTGGAGGACGCGCTCAACAATGTGACGTGCGGCACGGCTCCCGGCCTGGATGGGGTGCCATACGATGCCTACTACAAGTACCGCCTCGTGCTGCTCCCGTTGCTCACAACGCTCTTCAACCGTTGCTGGTCGGAACGGCGTGTCCCGGCGTCCTGGAAGGTCAGCATGACGACGCTGGTCCACAAGAAGGGCTCGGTCGACGACATTGCGAATTGGCGGCCGCTCGCGCTCCAGTCGACGCTGTACAAGCTGTACGCAAGCATCACGAAGACGCGGCTGTCGGGCTGGCTCGAGACGAATGAGCGCCTCAACAACATGCAGAAGGGGTTCCGCGACTTCAACGGCTGCCACGAGCACAATTTTGTCGCGCAGACGCTCATGCAATCGACGCGGCGCACCAAGGGCAAGCTCTTTGTTGTGTGGTACGATCTCAAGAACGCGTTTGGGTCGATGCCGCACAACTTTCTTTGGACCGTGCTGCGCCGACTCCGCGTCCCGGACGAGTTTGTCGAGCTGGTGCAGGACATCTACCGTGATGCGGCCACGGTCGTGCTCACGAAGGATGGCCTGACGGCGCCCGTGCCCCAGAAGACGGGTGTGTTCCAGGGGTGCCCGCTGAGCCCGCTTCTCTTCATCGCGGGTTTGGCGCCGCTCATGGATGCGCTGGCGGCCGTCCGTGACACTGCCGGGGCCACGCTCGCTCCTGGTCTGCGCCAGACGGGCACAGCGTTTGCCGATGACATCAAGATCTTCAGCAACTCGCGCGCCGGCATCCGCTCGCTGCACCAGCTCGTCTGCGACTTTTTGCGGTGGTCCAAGATGGAAGCCAACCCGACCAAGTGCGCGTTCTTGGGTTTTGAGCATGTAGGCAGCCGCTGCTGCCCTACGCCCGACGTCGAGCTGCTCCTTGGCGACCAAGCGATTCCTCACCTTGGCACGGTTGACGACGGATACAAATACCTGGGCATCAAGGAAGCTTTCGACGATGTGACGGTGCGCTTCCAGCTGACCGACATGTTCCACGACCTCAAGTGCAAGATTACCCTGCTCTGCAAGTCCGGGCTGGCACCGTGGCAGATCATCCGCGCGATCAAGTCCCACATCTACTCGCGTTTGGAGTACCCACTACGCCACGTGCATGCGATGAAGTCGCAACTCGACGGGCTGACACGGCACCTCTGGACGGCCCTCCGTTCGCTGCTCAAGCTGCCCGTGTCGACCACGACGAGCTTCTTCTCGACACCAACGGACTGCGGTGGCCTTGGTCTTTTGCCCATTGAAGAGCAGCGGGATGCCGTCCTGCTTGCGCACTTGTACCAGATGCTCCACTCGCCGGACGCTGACATTCGCACGATGGCCCGTCACGAGATCATGGCTGGCGCTCGAGCGGACTTCCACCTCCCCGAGGTGTCGGACTCTGACGGCGAAGTCGCTGAAGATCTCCTCCAGTCCTTCCTCAACGGCGAGCTCCAGACACTGCCAGGCGTCACGCCCAAGTCGCGCGTCGGGGCCAAGTCGACGATCGCAACCACGTTCCGGCTGCTCCTCAAGAAATACGAACTCAAGCTGACGTGCGAGCTGGGCAAGAACCTCCAGCTCAAGGTTGACGGCGTGGTCCTCACGACCAAGGACGTCAGTCGCCGGGTCAAACGTGCGCTCCAGCTCAAACACTATGAGAGATGGGGTGCATGCACCGACCAGGGACGAACCTTGGCCCATCATGGGGACATGGGATCCAAGTTCTTGACGTCTGGCGGTGGCTTATACGACAAGCAGTACCGGTTCGCCATCGCAGCGCGCCTCAACCAGGTGGATACGCGGTCTGTGCTCAAGCGCCGCCAACTGCGTGCCTCGGCAGTGTGTCGCCATTGTATTGATAGCGGCCGTCCGGAAACCCTCGCGCACGTTCTCCAACACTGCCCCCACAACCATGGTCTCATCACGCGCCGCCATGACGCGTCGCTCGACAAGATTGCTGCGGCGATACGCAAGGCCCTACCCACAGCGACGGTCAAGGTTAACGAGCTGGTGGATGGCTACAGCCCGCGCGCGCTACGACCCGACCTCCAAGTGTACTTCCAAACCGGCACGCGTCGCGTTGCTGTCCTCTTGGACCTCGCGATCACACTCGAGCACACGGCCAACGGGACGCCCAATGGTTGCCCATTTGAACGCATCGCGCGCAAGAAGGAAGACAAGTACTCCGAGCTCGGGCTGCATTTGCGCCAGACGTGCGATGAAGTCTACTGCACAGCCTTGGTGTATGGTGCCCTTGGATCTGTCTACAAGAAGAACGAGACGGCTCTCA